ATAAATATATGTATATAAATATATACATATCGTATGTGTGTGCATATCTATCGAATCATGCAGCGAGCTACCTATTCGGCCGCCACCAACGCCCGATCAAGTGCCATCGTCATGGTGGAATCCCATTTGTTGTGATAAGAGTCTATTGGTTGGAACGTATAAGCACGGCTGTGAAATGTATCGCCAAATGAGAGCCGATCCAAATCTTTGCTTTGTTACCCATGTGGGCGCCGGTGCCGGTGACGATTTGGCCGTCGCGAGTTTGCCAATGTAAGTACAAACATCTCAATATCTGCCATACCATATTTATCAATATTAACAAAACACACACACACACTATATCCCCTCCCTCCATATTGAGCTACGCATAAATAGGTGACCATTTCTCGTAATATCACATAAGCCACAAGTACTAATATTAATCACAAAAGCCTTCAGACCAGACTCTAGCCCTATGTGTGGAAGCAACTGGTAGAGACTATAGATATATACATATATAATATATAGTGGATTATAAGAAGTATAGAGAACTTAGACTATGTTCTCTATGTAACTAAGAGTTATTATGCCTAAACTAGCTCATGAAAACACATTTAGCTTAAGAGTCAAATAGGATGTGCTGTATGAAGTAAGTCAGTGTGACCGTATTTAGAAATTTGTGTTGCTTAAATGAGTGTCAATATAGATTTTCTAGCAAAAATTAGAGGGTTTTTAATTTTAACCTACATAAACTAAAAGATGTGACCATATAAATAAAAATTAAAAATATTTAGAAAGCCTAGACAATGTGTGAATTGCTCACATGGATGTTCTTTGAAACTATAGGAAAAGAAACAACAGAGCGTAAATATCGCTTTTAATTCTAGAGTACCTTGTGATTGGCCTGCCGTAATACGGTCACACTGGGCACACAAATACTTTTATAGATAAGAGTGTCTATAAATGTAAATTGTGTGTGTGCGTGCATATCGATAAATAGTTGTCGATAACTAAGTCGATTATTAATTTATTGTTCACTTCACAGAAATGAGGACGATGCAAATTCGAAGCACGATGACGGCGATGAGGTGGACGATGATGGCACCACCACAACCAAAGACTCGGATTCCACGAAGCTAACTGCTGGCGACAACAAGGACTCACTAGATCCAGAGCGTCCCAGTTCGTCGGGTAAGAGCGATAAGTGCGATAACAGCGATAACAATGGATCGATTGTACAAAAAGCGGCCAACGCCGAACTTGGCTCGGTTGTGGGCAATGGCAGCGCCGTCGAGGCGGAACCAGCGGCACCAAACGAATTGGCACCAAAAGAAAATGAAAAAGAAAAAGAAATTGATAAAGAAAAAGAAAAAGAAACTCAAAATCCGAATCAAAACGATAAAGCAAACGAAAAAGAAAACGAAATTGATAAAGAAATTGAGAAAAGTAATGAAAAAGCAGAAGGCAAAGCAGAGGCTGTGGCAGTCGCTGACGCTGAGGCAGTTGCTGATGCCGATTCAACAAGCTCGGCAGCAGCTGCTGTTGACGTCGACGCTGAGACAGCCGCTGCGGCCAGCGCATTGGACACTGATCAGGATGGGGCTAAGAGCGAAGCCCTGGCCAATGGAGCCGCTGCAGCGACAGCATCAGCCGCTGGCGAAGCCGTTGATGCCGCTGACATTGCAACAGCCGAGTCTGGTTCTCAATCATGCACTAACGCCAACACAACCACCACCACCACTACCACAACCACAAATATCACCACCACCACCACCACCACTATAACCACCATTACCAATCCATCAACAACGACTACGACTGCGTCTGCCTCTGAGCCAGCGGGTCAAAACTGCGAAAATGCTAACTCCAACTCAAATTTAGGCTTGGACGAGGAGGAAAGTGTCGCTGGCAGCTATCCACCATCGACCCTGGCTGCCGCCGAGGATGCCACCATGTGGCCATCGATGCAGGATCTGAATACGCGCTTGCGCCGCGTCATCACCGCCTACCAGCGCAACTACAAAAAGGAGGAGCTCAAGCAACAGCAAAAGGCCAAGGTAAGTCCTTCTTTTGAAATGCCCCCATTACAATCATTCCATCAGTGTCTCATTACGTTCCCACTCCTGTTAAGCAAACATATCGAGTGTAACTATCGATGTTGTTATATACAAGTTCCCAGCACTTCCAAGTCTCAAACTATTCACACAAAAAATAATCCGAAATATTCCTAGCAAGAATTATGGAAACATTTTGAATATTCAATTACTTTGCGGATTTATCAAATTATGATTGAATTTTTGATTATGAGAAACATTTATCGATCATAAATGATCGATATGTGGAGTGACTAAACGGATTCTAATATATTTAAATATCTTCGTTATGTGTAAAATTTAATAGTCTATAAAATAATCGATAAGCGATGTGTCGGTAGCGGTAGATACTACTGGGCTATCGATGTTTTTATTCACTATCCATTCGATAAAAAGTAAAAAGAAAATGATTATTGTCAGAGTTATCGATAAATTATTTCAATAAATGTGTCTATTAATAATTTGTACATATGTATGTTTCCATCAGTCTTGCCATGTCTCGTTGTATTACCTATGCAATTTGTGTTTATCGTTTTGTATTTTGCAAATAACACTAAAATTCAATCAAAATCCGTAGATTGAAAAGAAGATATTGAAGTATGTAGTAGTTTTGTTGCTTAGCTGTTGGCCGTAGACGTTGCTTTAAATTGTAGTTAAAGTAGATTTGAGAACCGATAACTAAAACCGCGGACGGACTGTAAAAGGACCACAAACACCTATCTGGCGACAACGACCAACAGCTGATTAACAAAACTATCTGCTAAAGAAAAGCCAGAGGCGACCACCCCGCAGATGTGAGCCGTCTCTGTTGCTCAATCTACTCCATTAGAGTTGTGTTGTACTTACTGTTCATAAAACGGAGCCAGTGAATCTTCCTTCGTTCGTGAACAAAGTGCTGAACTGAAGTGAACTAGTGTATAAAATGATCGAGTCGCTAGTGAACGAATTGAACGATGCCCTAATCTATTCCCTGTTTACACTCATTCGCTCTCTCACAAACACACACATGCTCTCTTTCTCTCTCTCTCTCTATCTATCTATCTTTCTCTCATGAAACGTTCGCTTGTTACTGTTGTTTACAACTACACCTCCTCCTCTGCCTCAACAGCTACAGGCTTTGGTCTCATCAACGCCACCGCTATCGGTGCCAACCACCCCCACCCTGCAGTCGATGCAAATGCAGATGCAGGGCGGCACTGGCGTTGGCGGCAATGCGGTCGCCAACGTTGGCGTCGGCGTCGGCGGCGGGTCCGTTAGCCAGCTGCAGCAGCAGCTCGACTCGAGCAATCGCAGCCTGCAGGCGTTGATGCAGTCACAAGGTGCCAGCACCTCGGCTGCTGCAGCGGCTGCCGCTGCCGCCGCCGCCGGTGGCCCTGGCTCATCGCACGGATTGGTGGGTCAGCATCAACAACAGCAGCAGCAGCAGCAACAACAGCAACAGCAGCAGCAACAGCAACAACAACAGCAGCAGCAGCAACAGCAGGTGGGCGGAACTCAGGTGCCGGCCATGCCCACCGCCGCAGATATCAGCCTTATGCTGAGCATCCTCAACACCACCGATGTCAGCCAATTGGCCAATTTGGATATCAGCAAACTGGCCATGTATTTGGTTAGTATGAACAATGTACGTGAAACAACCTGATGAGTACCATTCTCTCTCACTCTTACTTAATATTACAATATTACACAATGAAAAACTCAAATACTCGAAAACAAAACAAAAATGAACCCCATATACCCGGCAGAACTTACCACCACTTACTCACCCACAAATTTAACCCGCAAATCGTCAACATCATGCAGAACTTAACACACCCTTACTCTCTCTCTCTCTCTCTCACTCACTATTTCTCACGCTCACTCTCGCTCTCTGTTAAATCGGCCCACATGGGGCGTTAAATAGACCATGACCCATCCACCCAATCACCACTCGAAAATACTCAGTGCCCCATCTCCTCCTCAACCACCCACCACATACACTGACAATAACTTACCACACAAAAACACATACAAACCTACAAACATACAAACATAAAATTACTAACATTCATGTTAACCATGTTGATCTAACTAACCCTTTGATACAGTTGTATTTGAGTGCATACTAATTAGCATGATCAATAATTATAGATATACATAGAACATTTTTCTGTACATAATTGAAATACTTGATATACATATTTACAAATTTTTATTAGTTTTTAAGACATTTTTCTAATTGATATCAATTTATATTGCGATTCCAAAAATCGACATTTTTCAGCATTTTTAAATATGTATTTTAAAACCGCAATTCCCTATTTAAAAATTAAGATATATTATCTGAACCGTAATGACAGCAACGCTGGCCATCGACTAGTCAAAAGTCCATCTCTAATCAGAAACCGGTTTAGAGCTATTCACTACTTTGCATTCCATAAGTTTTGCGCTATTTAAGTCAGCCATTTTTATTTATTGCTAAATTACCGTTGTCTTCTCACGTTTCGATTGCTATCTGTACATATCGATAAACCCCTTTTGCTCGCGTGCATTCAAAAGGCGAATTTCAATGTGGAGTGAGAATAAATGAAGTGTGTGAAAAGTCAAAAGAGGAAATCTGGCAAGCAGCAGCAGCAGCAGCAGCGACAGCGAAAGAGGCATAATAAAATAAAATAAGTTACACCCACCGTGCGAGGTGGTGGCCGTCGCTGATTTCTGTCAACTACATGCGACTGTATAACTGTCTCGTACAACTGTATGAGTGTGTGTGTTTGTATGTGTGTACTTCCGAATGTTCAAACAAAAGCAACGGCGACAACGGTGACAAAACGAGACGCAAGACATGCCGAGTGAGCAGAGCAGCAGCAGCAGCAGCAACGGCGGAGGCGGCGAAAATACAAATACAAATACAAATGCAAAATACACTTATGCTTAATTTATGCAAAATAAAGAAAGAAGAAGAAAAATATACACCGAGAGCGGGCGAAGCCAGGCCCGAAATGTGGTGCACACGAGATGCTCAGGCGCGAATGAGCAGCCAAACGAGCAAACGAGGAAAATGTCAAACCAACCAGCCGCCCCAAAATGTGGAGGCAAACAGTAAAACCACAGACATGTTGGCCAACACGGCTCTTGGGTCAAATTATGAGATGCGACTTGGAGATGGGAGTCAATTGTACAACCTGACGCGCATTTTACTGTAGCAACAACAACAACGACGACAGAGCAGCGCGACGACGACGACGCCATTATCAAAAGGCGAAGCGAACGCCAGCGCCATCAATCAAAGCTGAAGCAACAGCAACAACATCAGCAATACCGAAGGCAGCGTCGACGCAAGCAGAGCCTAGCAGTAGTGAGAAGAGCAAGCATAACCGTCTCACAGGCAAAGCCAAAGCCACATTGTTGTTGTTGTTGTATTGACGAAGTTCTTCTTTGGTGACGATGATTGTTGCTGCGGTGGAAGCGGCAGCGGCAACGGCAACGGCAGCGGACGTCGCTGGTCTCCGACTGTTGGGTATTGGTATTGGTATCGGTATCGGTATCGGGTGGTTGCTGCTGCTGCTACGTTGGCTGTACTTGTGCGCCGTTGTTTGTATTAGTTTTTCATGACGAGGCTTGTGTGTGTGTGTGTGTGTGTGTAATTTTACATTTTCTGGATTTATCCAATGTTTAATTTTTTGCCTACATTGCCTGCCCACCCAAATACTGTTGTCGTCGCTATGTTGCTCTCAGGCAGGCCTGGCCGCGTATCCGTGTCGTCGCTCTCACGGGGCGAATTATTGAGCGAGACGAGATGGCGAATATGTGACTTGGTATGGTGACCTGTTCCGCTCCTGCTTTTGCTTACAGGCCCGCGGCGCGTCAATAAAGCCAAAGCCTAATTGTGCTCATTTGAGCTCATAGTTGTTGTTGTCTGCTCCTTTTGCTCCACTGTTCGTTCGTTGTTCTGTTTTTGCCACTTGCAGCAGCAGCAGCTTAAGAGATTTTTGTTGTTTCCCTCTAGAACACAAGCACACAAAGCTTGCATATACATATGTGTAGGAATGGGAACGAGATGTACATATGTATATATGTAGAAGCTGATGTGTGGGTAAGGGCATGTGTGTGTATGGATGTTTGCCATTCTTTTTATGCTATCTTTCTAGTGTACGATTTGCTTGGATGCTCACCTTGCTGACCGCTATTCGATTTATTATTTTATTAGCATTTGTTGCACAGTGGTGCAATTGTTTTTATAAACATACATTTTGATAAATATGTTTGGAGCTAGTTTGACCACTATACGCGTGCGTCTCACGTGTAGCTGTTGCAGCTGCGCATTCGCTTCACACCTGTCGGCCATAAATTATTAAGAAAAATGCTTTTTTTTTTTTGTCTTTCTCATTTTAAGAAAACCTGACCAGTGTGCAATGGTCAGTTCATCAATAAAAGTTGCACACATACGCATACATACATATGTTGGGATACGTGTACGAATGAGTCGCTGTTGTTATCTACCTGCTTTTTGATTTAGTTTTGCGTTACGCTTTAGTCAAATTTACGACCACACATGCATACAAAACGTCACACGCTTATATAGACACGCAGGCACACCTATACATCTGTAGTCGTTAACTCTCACGTGCAGTTGTGCATTTACTTCTCTCACTCTCCCTCTCTTGTTCTCTTACCGGCCGATCATGTTTTTAGATGTATGTGTGTGTGTGTGTGTTCAGTCATATGCATTTTCTGAAGATGTGTCGCTGTCGCCGTCGATTGGCAGCTCGCTTTGTGCTGCTGCTACGGCTTCGGCTGCTGTTAGTGCCGATGGTACTGGTATTGGTGCTGGTGGTGGGATTGTTGGATGTGTATCTGTATCTTACAGATTGATTAATAATCTCGTTTTTATACACGACAGAGCGCTCTTTCGCTCGCTGCTTTGGCAATGGCTGGCTACGTGCTTATCGCACTTTAGTGCAGTTTCTATCTTTCGCAATATATTTGTACAGTACATGTAGATTCATTTAAATATACATGTACATATATATGTATATGTATTCATATATGTAGATTGGTTGTTCATGCCCAAAGGTCGTATTAATTAAACTATAACAAGGGTCAAAAATTGTCTATAGACATTCTAGAAGTATTTTCTGTCACGTGTATTGATGTGTGTGTGCGCTCATTTTGTACCTGAAATTTTAATCCATTATTTTATTTTATCCCTTTTACGCTGTGTGTCCTTTGCTCAGTCGTTGGCGCTACCTCTGCTGACTCCTCTGCTTCTACCTTCTGCTTTGTCGTCAACAGTTTTTGTGGTACATTTGTTTCATTGCTTGGCTTTTTTGCCCCCCATCCCCCTCACTCCATATCTAGATATACACATGTGTGCGCTAGTGTGTGAATGTGAATATGTGTGTGACAGGCTCTGGCTTTGCCATTGCCTTTTGCTTACATTACACACAGTTGACACAATGTGCGCTGCCTTCTCATTCTTCTTCAACTCGTCCATCTAGTGCACACAGACACAGAATAAATACATACGCGCTCTCGCTAGCGGCGCTCTCGCGTCCAATGCGCTCTCTTTCTCTCTCTCTCTCTCACGCTGTCTGTCTCTCTTGGCACTGCAAGTGACGTTTTGCCTGTGCCTTGTGCCTGTTCCTTCGCCTTCGCCGCGCTCATTCACCTCAGTGGATGGACGACAGGCTGTGACTGCCTTTCTGCCTGCCCATCTCATTCATATTCACATTCACCCAAAACGGCGTTTGGCTTAATCTCACGATTGTTTGGTTTCGTTTGGTTTTTCTGCTCTGGCTCTGGCTCTGGCACTGGTTCAGCTCTGCTCTGCTCAGCTCAGCTCAGTTTTGTTGCTCTGCTCTGCTCCCTCGCTCAATAGTAGTTGCTTGGCTGTTGCTGTTGTTGTTGGTTTGACTAGCGACCCTCTCCCCCGTTCTCTACGTCGACRTTGCCGTTGCCGTTGCCGTCGCTGTTGCTGGCTGATTCGCATTCGATTTTAGCTGCTAGTGCCGCAGCCGCTGCCGCTGTCGCTGCTTCCGTGCGCGTATGCGTCCCCGTTGTGGTCTCTGTGTATATATCTATGTGTGTGTGTGTGTATTTGCTTGTGTGTGAGGAGTGTTTCTTGTATTTAGTCCGCAATGCGCTCGCTCATTATTTGTTTGAGCGCCGCGGTGTAAAGTTGTAAAAAGTCCAAGTGCTTGAGCAGCAAACGCATCCATATCCAAAACAACGTCGTGTCGGGGCTCTTCGTATCTCTCCCTCTCTTCGTCTCTCCCGCTTAATGCATGTGCCTCTGTGTGATTTTGTGTGTGTGTGTGTATAGTCAGAGAATAGAAGAAATAATAATCAAACGAATGGAAAAATGTAATTGCTGAAGCAAAAGTAGACGACGAGACGAGTGCGAGCGCGAGTGAAGAGCTAAGAGTGAAGAGTGGCGAGTGCAGACGTCGCCGCAACAACAACACCAAGCAACGCGCAAATGGCAAATGTGTCGCCGCAATGAATGATAATTAGTGCTTAATTAAAATCAATAATGTCGAAATCGAAAACCATTTCAATATTTGTGATATAGCATATATGCATACTTATATATGTATATAAATACATATATGTATTGTAATTGTAATTGTAATGCAATTGCATATCGAAATTGAGTGCTCGTGAGTGTGTTCATCTGTATGTGTGTGTACATGTGTTTCTATATATATGTGCCTATTGTCTAATACAAAATGGAGGTTATTAAACCCATGGATTTTAGCAGCTTCTCCGCCTTCTGCGAGCATCTCAATAAATCAACAGCAGCAGTAACAACAGCGACAACAACAACAACAACGTTAAGCAATGGCATTTATTTGGAGGTAAAACTACAACAACAATGCGATGACAATTTACTGCATTAAATATGCAGAAAAAGAAATAAAAATTTAATTAAAATGAATGCAAATTGGCAAACGAAATAAATGTGAATGCAAAGAATGCGTGCAGAAAAAAAAGCGCAAAAGCAAGCGAAGAACAAGCAGAAGCGAAATAAAAGTAACAACCAACGGCAGCCGTGGCTGTGGCGGCTCCGGCTGTGGCAGTGGCAGAGTCAGAGACAGAGGTAGACACGCAGCAGCAGCACCAAGTAGTCAGTCGAGCCGCAAAGTTAAAACGAAATACAAAACAATAAATTTATGCCTATAGATTTCACATGTACAATCGTTGCCCACTTACACGGCCCGTGTAAGTTACTCTCTCAAAACTCTCTCACATACACGCACACAGGGACAAGCAAATAAACAAACACACGTTAACCAGTTGGGATGGCTCAGTGTATGTGTGTGCGAGTATTATATGAGTGTGTTTGTGTCTGTGCGCTCATTTAAATTCGTTTTTGCCGCCTCTGTCTCTTCTACCCCATTTCGCCGCAAGTCAAGCCGTTGCCGTTGTCGTTGCCATTGCCATTGCTTTGCTACTTACTAATAATCATAATCAATCGCTCGCACTTGTATCGTGGAAATGCACGAAGAGCAGAACAGGGGCGAATGCGAAGGCGTCGCGTTGCCTCGCGTCGCGCCGCGTGGCGTGGCTTGTCGTTTGCGCAAGCGAGATACAAGATGGTATAAGATACAAATAGGATAGAGTCGGATAGTAGTAGGGGGCGTCGTAGTAGCAGAAGAGGTCGTTCGTTGAATCTCCTTAGCTTCGGTTGCTTTGTCGTTTGTTTTTGTTTGTCTCCTTCCCCCGCTCTCTTTCATTATTTTTTTTTTTGCATGAAATTTGTATAGCGAAAAGCCGTTAGCCTCCACACGTATATATAAATATATATAGATATGTATATATAATATATATATAAACACACAAATACTTAGAGTGCTGCCAACCTGCGCCAATTGGCATCCTTGAGGCCAGACTTGCCAACATGACTGCGAGAGCAGCCCCCTTCCGTTTTTCATGAGTTTGACTGCAAGCGTCGTTTGCAGTTTTGTTGTTGTTTTGATTTGCATTCAGAAACACACACAGACACACACATTTAAATAAATATATGTGCATGTTTTGTATTGTGTGGGTGTGTGCGTGTGTGACTATGTTTTTATTTGCAACCACCTGGCAACGCTGTCTAAGCAGTTGCCGACTGACAGCCACATTTTAGGGGGGCCTCTTCAACATTATTATTATTATCATAACTAACTACACACACACACACAGTCGAACATGCTTCTGTGTGCGAGTGTGAAGAGAGCTTCTTTTCGCTGCTAGCCCGTGCAATTGGTCTCGCAGGATTCATTTGTTTTTGTCTCCGACTCTGCCTACGCTACGTCCTCTTGTCTCAACATTCGCCGTAGCCTTTGCCCTATGTCCTGTGCCCTCGGCCCGCGCTCTGTGTCGACCGCTCTAATAGGGGTGTAAAATGGATTTTTTTTTTTTTACTTTTATTATTATGATTTTATTGTATTTCCAGTTTCAGTTTCTGTTCGTTCGTATTTAGTCGACATAGTCGACGTCGTCGTCGTAGCTATTGTCTCTCATTTTGCCCCTTTGCTTTGGGCTTGCCATTCGCATTTTGTACTTTTCGCAAACATTTTTGTAATTTTTGAAAGGCTCGCCCCGGCTACCAACCCCCTACCCAAGCATACATATATACAGATATATGGTATATATAGTAGAGAGGCGGCACCCACCCCGTATGCACCCCATCATATTGTTTCTGTGGATGATGTTGATGAGGGGAGCTGTAGGTGGTGGAGGGTGAGGGTGAGGGTGAGCAGGAGGGGTTGTGCTTTTAATTCTTTTTCAAATTGTGTAAATATTCGTAATGAATTTGAACTGCATTTGCCGTGGAATACCCTAACCTAGCCAAGGCATTTAAATTTGGTAGTAAAAATCATTTCCTCCTCTGTGTATTATTGAATACAACTATGTCAAATAGTACTACTTGATATCACATATCAATAAAATCATTAAACTTAAAGAGTTTTTGTGTAGCAACAAATTTCGCAGTTATTTAATCAGACAAAGATATCTTTCATTTTGATATATTTTTTGCGCCTTTCTTAATATGAACTGGAAATCGGTAATCACATTGGATGACTATAACAGTTTCTCTCGCTCTTCCTCTCTGCCTGTCTCTCTCTGTATTCGCATGTCTTTTGGTCTTATCTTATCTTTGGCTTGACTGGGCCTGCCTGACTTTTGGTGTAGCCATGAATGGGTAACGCTTGTAAAAGTAGCTGAGATTATAATATTTTATGTGTGATGATGTCTTCCTCTTTAATCTATTAACGAGTCTCCGTGTTGAGTCAGCATTTGATTGAATACACATGCATACAATTAAGATTATAAACTTATAGAGAGAAAGAGACAGCTAACAAAAATGAACTAAATTAATTAATTAACACTAAATGACAAAGATTTATGGAGAATTTTTAGAAAGAATGATAATAGATAATATATAAAACAAAAATGTATATTTACATACTTTACTCGAGAAGTGATAAAATAATTAAACTATTAAATCGAAATTGTATGCAATTGAAGAGAATAAAGAGCATATATGAAGTATTAGAGGAAGAAGCTGATAAGTTCCAGAGATGTATTAGATTATTACGAATTTTTAATATTTATAAAATCAACTGATATTTAATTATAGTAATAATGATCCAAATGTGAATAACTAACAATGTTAAAAAAATAATAAGTACAGAGCCTAGAGCATCCAYCTTATTTATATGTAATATATTATTGTGAATTTTTAAACAATATTCTCTTATTTAATCTATAATATATACATTTAATTTAAATGCATAACATTTTTATATATTATTACATATATGTTTACTAACTCGTACCCCTCTTTGTTTCTTACAGAAAATGGAGCGTCAGGGTAAGATGGAGCTGGCGGCCAAGGAGCGGGAGTCGCAGCGTCTACAGCTAATACCCAAGAAATGGAATCGTCGCGAGGAATACGAATTCCTGCGCGTGCTCACAGGCTATGGTGTGGATATGCAGCTGAACACGCCCATGGGCGGCAACAGCAACAGCAGCATCAGCATTACGAACAGCAGTGGCGGTAGCCAGACGCCCGACTGGACCAAGTTCAAGCAGATGGCACATCTGGAGCGGAAGAGCGATGAAACATTGAGTGATTACTACAAAGTCTTTGTGGCCATGTGCCGAAGACAGGCTGGACTGAAGCTCAGCGAGAATGAGCGTGGACTCGAGGGCATTGTCGAGGAGGTGGAGAAGGAGCACGCGAAGCTCATTCTAGATCGGCTTGAGCTGCTGTCCAAGCTGCGCGAAGTAGCGCGCCATCCCCAGCTGGAGGAGAGACTGAAACTGTGCATGATGAATGCGGATACGCCCGATTGGTGGGAGCCGGGTCGGCATGATAAGGAGCTGATTGCAGCCGTGTTGAAGCACGGTCTCTATCGCTCCGAGACCTTCATCTTCAATGATCCCAACTTCAGTTTCTGCGAGTCGGAAAAGCGCTTCATTAGGGAACTGGAGGCCCAGATACAGCGCACCATCAAACTGGAGGCTTTCAATGCGGAGAAGGCGGCCGCAGCTGAGAAAGCTGCAGCAGCCGAAAAAGCAGCAGCAGCCGCCGCAGCAGCTGCAGCGGCAGTTAAGCATGAGATCATCGATCTGGACGATGAGCTGTTGACCAAGGAGAGCGTCATCAAGAAGGAGTCACCTGTGAAAGCGGAAGTGAAGCCAGAACAGAGCGCAGACAAAGCTGAAGTCGAGGAGGCGAGCGAAGAGAAGGCAACAGCTGATAAAGTGGACGAGGAGAACGTCGAAGAGAAGCCGGCAGACAAGCAAACGCCGGAGGATGAAGCCAAGCCATGCAGGGAAACCGCTGAAGACGCTGAAGAGCTGCCCGCGGCCAAGGCAAGTGAAGCTGAGGCTGAGACTCCAGCTGAAGCCGAGGCGGAGGCCAAATCCAAGGAGCAAACCGAGGAGAAAATGGATGTGGATGCCGAGCCAATTGCAGAGAATGGCAATGAAAAGGAAGCTGAAACGGAAGCCGTTGCCACTGCCGAAGCAGAGGAACCAGCTGAGAGCCTCAAGGACGAAGCAGCAGAAAAAGACGAGGAGAAGAAGTCAAGTGACAAGCAAGAGGAAGACGACTCCAAGATGGAAACTGAATCCACAAAGTCGACTGCTGCCGAGGAAAAGGAATCCACTGAAACGTCAGCTACAGAAAAAGATGACGAGGCAGCTGCCAAAGCAGAAAGCGAAAAAGGCGACGAAGCTGTCGCCGAGGCCGTCAAAGAGCCTCCGGAGAAGGAGAAGGAGAAGCAGAAGGAGGACGAGAATGAGAAGGAAGCAACTGCAGCTGAAACAACTGAAACTGAAACTGAAACGAAGAAAGTTGAAGYCGAGGCAGAAGTCAGCAAGGCAGATGAGTCCAAGATTTCGAGCAGTGCAGACAAGCCCGCAGCGGAGCAGGAGATACTCGATCTGGTGGCTGGACCCAGTGATCCGGATGACGATGAAGTCATGAAGGAGAAGGAGAAGGCAGTCGAGGAGGAATGCAAGAAGCAAGCAGCTGAACTCAAGGCGCGCTTTCCCGATCTCGAGGTCATTCAGCCGGCGGCTGTGAAACAGCAAAAGCTGGAGAAACCGAAGCTGGAGATGTGCATGATCCGTTGGTTCAAGGACTTTGCTCTAGAGCGACGCATCGCCCACATTGTGGTGTGCGTGGAGACCAACAAGTGGCCAGTGGACAAGAACTACAGTGCCTTTGCCGGCCTGAAGGGCAACACGGATCTGAACATCGCCCTGCATGAGTCCATACCCCATCTGAATAGCAGCGAGCGCCGCTCCACGACGCCCGACGTGATAACCATTACCACAGACCAGGGTGTGACGAAGCATTTGCAGGCCTCGCAGATGCAACAGGTGGCCAGCAGTGCAGGCGTCGTCCCTGCCGCCAGCAACGTTCCCGCGTTGCCCAAGCCCCAGATAACAGCGCCAACAACGCTGCCTGGTCTGGATGCGAACAGCATCAATGCGGCTGTGGCAGCTGCTGTCGCAGCGGCAGCCAGTGGCGGCAATGCCACATCTCTGTCAGCTCTGCTGCCGGGCATGTCGCTGAGTGCGGCCACTGCGGGAGCAAGTGCAGCAGCAGCTGCAGCTGTCGGCGCAGCTGGTCTGAATGTGCCCAGTGCTGGAACCCTGGGCTCGAACGCGGGCAAGAAGCGCAAGCGTCACATTGCCATCGATGTGGAGACGGAGCGTGCCAAGCTGCATGCGCTGCTCAATAGCTCGTCAAGTAAGTGGATGATACTGGATAATCAATCATTGAATCACAACTCATGTATTCTGCATTCCTCATTTCCAGTGGCTCCCAAAGATTGGGAAAGCGAAATAGCCAACATGGAGGCTCTAACTGGAGCTGCAGCTCGTCGTGGTGGCAGCTCAAGCTCGGCTGCGGCCTCTGCGGCCGCATTGAGTGGCATGCAACCACCGCCAGCGCATCAGCATGCCTCGCTGTCGCGTCAGTCCTCCGGTCAGTTCAATAAGCCCGCTGTGCCGGCCATGAAGACGCCGCCGCCATCAATGGGCGCGCCAATGGATTTGTCCTCAAGGTGCGTAAGACCTGACTACCAGGAAATATTCCATTCCATCCAATTCAATCCACTTCACATATTAACTCGCCCATTATCAACTCTACACAGCAGCCTGCCCAAGATGAATATGACCGAAATGCTAAAGTCAGCCTCCAGCTCGGGCGCCATTGATCTGAGTGAGGTGCAGGACTTTTCGATGCCTTCCAAGAAGTCGAGTGTGCATGCAGCGCTCAGTTCCGCTTTCCCCTCGATGGGCGGCAGCAAAAGCAAGCTGGATGATACGCTCAACAAGCTAATGAAGAAAAACAATTGCGTAAGTTTGTAATTGATATGAAATGTGAAGAAACTGTAAATTATAATTATCTAAATCCTTTGCAGACCATTGAGGAGCCCGTCATTGGCAAGGAGAAGAAACGCAAGAAGCTGGATGAAATTGTCTTGGGTCTGTCGGCTGCCAAGGAGCAGAAGACCTTCCCCGATCCCTCGTTGCCCTCATCGAAGAAGCCACAGATACCGCCCAGTGTGTCGGTGACGCCGGCTAATCTCCAGGCGCCCAGCCAGCAGCAGTCCAATCAGAAACCATTTACCATCACTGTGACGACAGTGCCCGGAAGTGAGTTGGAGTCTCTGCGCTTTCATACTTTAAATAGCCCAAGCCGGAGGCGTCTCACCAAACCAACAGAAACTAACTTGTGCAACTCTCTCTTCTCTTTGTCCATTGTAGAGTCCAAGAGCGGCGGCCAGAGCAGCGGCAGCGGAAGCGGCGCTGGAACCGGCGCCAGCAGCTCCTCGGGCAGCGGCCTGAGCGCCCTGCAAAACATGGCCATGGGCGGTCTGTCCAGCAAGGACAGTCTGAATGCGCTGCTCGCCCAGACAATGGCAACCGATCCGCAATCGTTCCTCAAGCAACAGCAGAAGATGATGCAGTTCCTGCCGCCCTCGCAGCGCAAGGCCTACGAGAACATGCTCGCCGAAATGGAGCAGGCAATGAAGCTGAGCTGCAAGTACAACTCCTCACACGATGTCAAGGTCAACAAGTGGCTCTCGGATATGACCAGCCCGCTGGGCGATCAGCTGAGCATTGACTATGTTGGAGCGGGAGGCGGCGGAAGCGGAGCTGGCAGCAGCAACAGCCGTCGCGGAAATCGAGGTCAACAGAGCAGCTCGAGTGCGCAGCAGGCGGCCAATGCGGCGCAGTTGCAAAAGCAGCAGCAGCAGCAGCAACAACAGCAACAGCAGCAACAGCAACAACAGCAGCAGCAACAGCAGCAACAACAACAGCAGCAGCAACAACAGCAGCAGCAGCAACAGCAGCAACAATCGATGGCCGGCCCGCAAGGCCTGACCGGAGAGGAGCCCGTGCCGGTGATCAACAAGCAGACGGGCAAACGACTGGGCGGCAATAAGGCGCCACAACTGAAGCGTCTGATGCAGTGGTAAGTGGAAATCAACTGGGATGGAATACAAGGAGCATACTCTTAATAACATATTTCCATTCTTTGTGCTTAACAGGCTCACCGAGAATCCCAACTATGAGGTGGATCCCAAATGGCTGGAACAGATGCAGAATCCCATGTCTGCGCCCTCACCCAAACCCAGTGTCAACACCATGGACAACAGCAGCTACGGCGTCTCCAAATCGCACGGTGGACGGCCCTCGTCCAATTCGAGCAACGCCTCTTCCAGCAGCCACACCCAACAGCCGAGTGCTGCGCAGTCGCCGGCTGGCAATTCGAGCGGCTCGTCGAAGAAGTCGTCGAGGCAGAGCCAATCGGCAGCGGCCTTGGATCAGGCGGCGCTGCAGTTCGGTTCGCTGGCTGGCCTCAATCCCAGTTTGCTGGCCAATCTGCCCGGCTTGGGCGCCTTCGATCCGAAGAATCCGCTCGCCGCCTTCGATCCGAAGAATCCGCTGCTCTCGATGCCGTTTGGCGGCATGCCCGGCATGAGCAATTTGCCCGGGTTGGGCAATCTCAACAATATGAATCTGTTCGCCAGTCTGGCCGGCATGGGCGGCTTGGGTAATCTGGCCGGCATGGATGCCCAGTCATTGGCTGCGCTCATGGCTGCTGCTGGACCAACGCTTGGCGGCCTCACAGGCAGCACAAACGCGGGCACCGGCAAGAGCCAGTCGCAGTCCAGTGGTGGCGGCAACTCCTCCAGCACCTCCTCCTCGTCGGCGGCCAGCAAGAAGAAGCAACAGCAGCAGAACGAAGCCGCCCAACTGGCAGCCGTGGCTGCCGCCGCTGCAGTCAACAACAGCGGAGCCGGCAGCTCCTCGGGAGGCGGCAAGAACTCGAACGCCTCGGCATCGCAGTTGGCCGCCGGCTTTCCGTTCCTCTTCCCTAATCCCTCGCTGCTGTATCCGCCCATGGGCCTGGGCGGACTCAACCCCTACTCGCTGGGCAGCAGTGGCCTGGGCTCCGCATACGATCAACTGGCACAGCAATATAATCTGCTGAATGGCGTGGCCACCTCATCGGCCGCCGTCACCGGATCCACGCAGTCGGGCAAGTCGCATCAGTCGCAGTCGAGCAAGTCGAGCAATTCACGCAGCGCCTCCAACTCGGCGGCGAATTCGGCAGCGAATCTAATGAATGCCATGGCCAGCATGAGCGCCAACACGGTGACCACTCCATCCAGCTCGAGCTCCAGTCGCAGCCGCCAGAGCAGCAGCCAGCGCAACTCCGCTGCCTCGGCCACGCCCAGTGCTGCGGACATGGCACAGCTCTCCAGTCTACTGATGCCTGGTGCTGATCCCCATCTGCTCGAGTCGCTCAGTCGCATGAGCAGCATGGATCTGGCCCAAGCCACCCGTCTCATGAGCTCCTTGGGCATGCCGCCGCTGCCCACGCCCAGCAGCTCGAACAGCAACAGCACCAGCAGCTCCAGTGCCGCCAGCAAACGTGCCGCAGCAGCAGCCGCTGCCAATGAGGCATCCGCCAAGGAGCAACAGAAGTGGTTCGAGAGCATTGCGCGTGGTGCGTTGCCCACGGATCTGGCCGCGCTGCAGGCCTTCTCGCAGGGCAAGATGCCGAGCACCTCCTCCGTTAGTTCGAACAGCGGCGGCGGCTCCAGCTCGGCCAGCAAGAGCTCCAAGTCTGCAGCAGCTGCCGCCGCAGCAGCCGCAGCCGCAGCTGCCCAAATGCCTCAGATCCCAGGCATGTCCAGTGACTTCTCGCAGGCACTTCTCGCCGAGATGGCCGCCCAGGCAATGGCTGCCGCCGGCGGCTCGCTGCCACTGAGTGGACCCGGTTCGCTGGCCAGCTTAGCTGGCCTGACAGGCGGCTCGTCCTCCTCAGCTGGAGGTGGAGGTGGCGGCGGCGGAAGCAGCAGCAGCAGCTCGGCTGCCAAGCGACAGCGGGAACAGGATGCATTCAAACAGCAAATGGACTTCTACACAAAGTCGTTGGGCCTGGGCTCGGGCATCTCGCTGATACCCACCTCGTCGTCGGGCAGCAGTAGCAGCCTGAATGCTGCCGTCGCCTATGCAGCCGCTCTGGATGCAGAGCACCTGCAGCAGCAGCAGCAGCAGCAACAGCAGCAGCAACACAAATCGAAACGCGCACGCAGCGAGCTGCATCCCACGAAGGATGAGCTGGCAGCTGCTGCTCTAGCTGCTGGTCTGCCGCTGAATCTGGGAGCCAGCATCGAGAAGAGTTTGCGTGGTGGCTCCAGCAGCTCCTCGACGCCAGCGCCGCCCACGCCCACGCCCGAGCAGGACAAAGTGACCCTGACGCCGTTGAACGCGAGCGCCTCGAGTGCAGCCAATGCGGCGATTGCGGCCAATCTGCCATCCCAGACAACGATCACAATTGCGCCGCCCATCAGCAGCGGCGCCAGCACCAGCAGCGAGCGGTCGGAGCGCAGTGAGTCGCGCATCTCGTTGACCATAACGAATGCTGCGGATGCCGCCAAACTGCCGCCGCCCTACGAGGAGGCCGACGAGCTGATCATACAGCCCATACTGAAGAAGCCAGCGGCGCCGGGCAGCAGTCACGGCGGCAGCGTTGAGGATCTGGATGCCAGTGGAGCAGCCAACAATTCAGCGGCCAATTTGAGCGGTTCCAGCAGCAGTAGCTCCTCCGTAGCCGCCGCCGCGGCAGCAGCGGCTGCAGCCGAAGAGAATCGCCGCTCTTCCAATCGTCTAAAGCGTCCGCGTTCCGGCAACGAAACCGAACAGCAGCCCCCAGAGAAGCGACGCGAGCTGCGTTCCACGCGTCACACGCGTCAATCGGCGGATGCTGCCACTCTAAATCTATCGGCGGGCAGCGAGTCTGAAGACCGGAATGAATGAGTAAAGCGAAGCGCCTAGCAACACGACAGCGCCCCAAGAGAGGGCGTCCGCACCAGACAGGGCAACAGGAACAGTAAAAGCAACAAGAGCATCAACAACAACAAGAAGAATATAAGTAACAAACCTAGAGCTAAAAACGTTAAAAACAAAACCAACAATCAGAAGCAAAAGCAAAAGCCACAACAACAACAACAACAGCAACAGCAACAGCTCAAAAAGGCCACTAGACTGAGCCGAACGAGAAATGCGAATGGCGACAGCAGCGGTAACGGTAGCAGTAACGGTAACGGAAACGGAAACGGACGAGCAGCGGCTAAAGCTGAGACAAGAAGCGCACGCAAATTGAACTCAAGGCTAAATGTAACAAGCAGATGCACGCGAACTAGTTCCAAAGCGAGAACCAGAACAAGAGCGCGCATTAGTGCGAATAGAAGTAGTAGAACACTTAAGCTTAAAGTTGTGTAAAATATAAGTAAATCCCCAACACACACACACATATAAATAAATAAATA